CATAAACAAGCTAGGGAAATACAACCTAGATGGAGCTCCTCTATGGTGGGTGCATAACTGGTTGGAAATCTGTTCCCAGAGAGTAGTTATCAGTGGTTCACAGTCACTCTGAAAGGGCATAACGAGTGGGAGGGGTTGCAAGTGCTTTGGAGGATAGGATTAAAATTCAAGATGATCTGGACAAACTGGAGAAATGGTCTGAAGTAAATAGGATGAAATTAAATGAGGAGAAATGCAAAGTACTCCACTTAGGAAGGAACACTCAGTTGCACACATACAAAATGGGAAATGACTACCTAGGAAGGAGTACTGTGGAGGGAGATCTGGGGGTCATAGTGGATCACAAACTAAATATGAGTCAACAGTGTAACGCTGTAGAATAAAAAGCAAACTGCATTCTGGGATGTATTAGCAGGAGCATTGTAAGCAAGACACAAGAAGTAATTCTTCCACTCTACTCTGCACTGATTAGACCTCAGCTGGTGTATTGTGTCCAGTTCTGGGCACCACATTTCAGGAAAGGTGTGGACAAATTAGAAAGTCCAGAGAAGAGCAAAAAAAATGATTAAAAGTCTAGAAAACAGGACCTATATGGGAAGACTGAAAAAATTGGGTTTATTTAGTCTGGAGAAGAGAAGACTGAGAGGGGACATGATAACAGTTTTCAAGTACATAAAAGGTTGCTACAATGAGGAGAGAGAAGAATTACTCTTCTTAACCTCTGAGGAGAGGACAAGAAGCAATGGGCTTAAATTGCAGCAAGGGGCGGTTAGATTGGACATTAGGAAAAACTTCCTAACTGTCAGGGTGGTTAAGCACTGGAATAAATTGCCTAGGGAGATTGTGGAATCTCCATCATTGGAGATTTTTAAGAACAGGTTAGACAAACCTATCAGGAATGGTCTAGATAATACTTAATTCTGCCTTGAGTGCAGGGGACTGGACTAGATGACCTCTCAAGGTCCCTTCAAGACCCATGATTCTACATCACCTGAACATCACTCTGTTCTTGGGGGATGATTGGTGGACAACTTTAAAGCACTTGTGCATTGGTGATATTGGCACAAAGCAGCTGCACTCTAGATGGCATTACCCAGAGCTGAAATGTAATCTTAAGAAAATCATGCTGTAGTATGACATTATTTAGTATAGTTCCATCAAAGATCATTATATGGCCCCCATTGCCACAGTATGAGTGTATCTCAATCTTCAAAGTATTTATCGTCACAATATCCCTATGAGGTAGGGAAGTGGAGTTATCCTTATTTACCAGATGTGGAAATAAAGCACACAGACACTAAGCAACTTGCCCACATTCACACAGGAAGGCTGTGTCAGAGCATAAAACAGAGACAATTTAAGAAGACAAACCAGTATACCCTTTTCCTTATTTGCACTAAGGCCTAGCTATGCTTACTCAATGGGACAACTTGCAGTTAAGGTACTACTCAGTGTACTGAGTAACAGAATCAGGTTTTGGAACAAATTGATACATTAAACAGTAATAAGTCACCAGGACCAGATGGGATTCACCCAAGAGTTCTGAAGGAACTCAAATATGAAATTGCAGAACTACTAACTGTGGAATGTAATGTAACGCCAATTTTTAAAAAAGGCTCCAGAGGTGATCCCAGCAGTTACAGGCTGATAAACTTAACTTCAGTACCGGGCAAATTGGTTGAAACTATAGGAAAGAACAGAATTATCTAGCACATAGATTAACATGATTTTGGGGGGAAGAATCAACCTGGCTTTTGTAAAGGGAAATCATGCCTTACCAATCTACTAGAATTCTTTGAGGGGGTCAACAAACATGTGGACAAGGGGGATCCAGTAGATATAGTATACTTAGGACTTTCAGAAAGCCTTTGACAAGGTCCGTAACCAAAGGCTCCTAAGTAAAGTAAGTGGTCATGGGATAAGAAGGAAGAACCTCTCATGGATCAGTAACTGGTTAAAAGATAAGAAACAAAGGATAGGAATAAATTATCAGTTTTCAGAATTGAGAGAGCTAAATAGGGATGTCCCCCAGAGGTCTCTACTGGGAGCAGTGCTGTTCATAAATGATCTGGAAAAAAGGGCAAACAATCTGCAGATGATACAAAACTACTCAAGATAGTTAAATCCAAGGCAGACTGCGAAGAGTTACAAAGAGATCTTGCAAAACTGGGTGACTAGGCAACAAAACGACAGATGAAATTCAACGTTGATAAATGTGAAGTAATGCACATTGGAAAACATAATCCCAACTATACATACAAAATGATAGGGTCTAAATTAGCTGTTACGTCTCAAGAAAGATCTTGGAGTCATGAATAGTTCTCTGAAAACATCTGCTCAATGGGCAGTGGCAGTCAAAAAAGCTAACAGTGTTGGGAATCATTAGGAAAGGGATAGATAAAACATAAAATATTATAATGCCTCTATATAAATCCATGGTACACTCACATCTTGAATACTGCATGCAGAGCTGGTCTCCCCATCTCAAAAAAGATACAATATATACTCGTTCATAAACTGAATTTTTTTAGTAAAAAAGGGAAGCACCAGAGATGGGGGTCAGCTTATGAACGGGTATAGAGAGGGAGAGGTGGAAGACAGCACCTCTCCCAACAGAGGGAGCAAGGAGAGGTAGCACAGCCAGCAGAGACAGAAGGAAAGAGGCGGGGACAGAGTGTCTCTGCTTCTGGCCACGCTGCTCTCCCCCCAGCCTCTGAAGCAGCTGCAGCTCTGGGTTGAAACTATAGTAAAGAACAGAATTATCAGCCGTGCCACTAGGGTGACCAGATCAGCAGT